CTCATTGAACGAAGAAAATAGGGTATCGCGTGTTAAATTCTAATATCTCGAATCCACATTAGTGTCAGCCATATCAACCCCTTAAAAGAAACGACATGACATAATTTTCGACAAATCCTCAAACTCCATTGAAAAAGATAAAATCCCTGTAATTGTGTTCCCGAATATTGACCATCAAATAAGTTTCCTGTGGCAATTTAAAAATATTAAGGTGCATCATATAGGATACGTATTAAGGTATATTAAATATTAAGGACGGGATATGTGGAAATAAGAAAATTTGAGGAAAACATGAGGGGGGCGCGTTTTCGTTCCCGGAAGTGGAAGGTGCAGATCGCAGGACGTGTCCTCGCTGTCGGCGGTACGTTTACGAGGACAGTTGTAAATCCAGGGGATCCTTTTCCGTTTGGCGCCAGGAAGAGGAAGGACGACCCCGCGGGGGGTCTTCGATCCGGTCCTTCCGGTTTGCCGGCGTCCGCGCCGTATAACGCGCGACAAATTGCCCGATTAACAGGATCCTCCGTTGGGGAAGGTCAGGACTCATTGTCGGCCCGTGGAGCGGATATTAGAACGCAGGACGGAACTGCCGGATTTACCGGATTTACCGGATTTACTGGAAAAGGTGGACGAGGTATCCAGGTATATGTACGCCGTGTCCGGAAGGTAAACCAAAGCCCCGTTGTTCCTCCCCCATAAACAATAATGAATATTGTACGAATTCCGAAACTTCCCTTCCAGGGCGCCTTCGAGTTCATTCACAAACCTTCCTCGTTTGTTTCGAAGAAAAGGGTGGGTGGAAACGTACAAATTCTGCCGACCCCTCTCGCCAAACGTAAAAGATTTCAGGCTAAAGTTCGCCGCGCAAGAAGGATTATCCTGGCGAGGCGACGCGCAGGATCGTCGGTATTATGTAAAAATTGAAGCTGACAAATGATAAGGGCCGGCGTCGTCTAGACGGAAGTACATCTCGGTCGTCGCTTAGTTATCGGTCACATAATGGGGCGTCGTCTCGCCAAGGGGGCGAAATTTACCCCCGAAGTGTCTTCGTTTTTATGGCGGGTCACTTCGAAATTAAGGAAATCACTTCCGGTCGATCGACGGGACTCCGTCTCGTTAGCGAATTCTCCGGAAAACCTCGAAATTTCAAGACCTCCCACTTAGACCTCACCTCCGAATGCAAAAAGAGTTCCGAATAATTCCGAGTGCCACTTTTTAAATTTCTTCCCTCTGAGTAAAAATGGGTCTGCGAGGCTACTACGTTCGGGGCGCTCGTTAACGACTCGTCCATTCAGAAACTGTAGGTTAGTTTTCCGAGAACTACCCGAGTCATTGACAAACAATCACTCCGCATAGGAGCACACCGGATTAGCAGTCCCTTTCCGGCGGAAGTGCCCCGTCTCGATGACCACTTCAAAATTGCAACTCCAAGTACCGGTTGACCGCCATTTAAAGAGCGGCCAAGTTTGGCCGCAATATAAGGACCTACCCCCGAATTCATTGTCACCGTCGTAAACGTACCCACCCCTTGCACCGACTTATACCTAGGCATGCCTGCATCCTACCTGACGTCGAAGAAAAATTCCTAACAAAATAATACCATCCTAACGAACGCAAATTGTGAAACGGCCAGGACCTCGACACTCCACTGACCCGATTTCCCGCCATGGAAAAGCTGGAGTTTTTCAAGGATCCGCAAAAATGCCCGCGAATTCCTCCGTGATTTTTGTCACGTGGCCTTTTTATCGTGTATCAGGGTTTCGTATAGGTTTTTTTATATAAATTCGAGTGGTTCAGCAGGGCGTCCTCGCGTCTCTTATGGGCGACTTCGAGGGGGGTCCGCAAGTTGGCTTCCATTATGCGATACAAGTTGCGGGTAGAGCGACAGCCCACTGATTTTGTATTCAGAAAAGTTCTATTATAAGATTGCTAACTTTTTGCCTGACTGGGAAGTCTGCGAGGAGGAACCGCAGGAAAAGACGACGGCCGTGGTGAGGGGCACGGGGGAGGAGATATCAGGGGGTCGTAGGGGACGAACGCGAGGCACGAGGGGTGCGACTATTACACGAGACGTCAACCTTGCTGACGGCGAACCTCAGGGTGGCATTCAACCCCGAAAGTCAAAATAACTTCCTAAACTTTAACCTCCCGAGTATAAAAGTCGATGCCTTTTCTATCTGCTTGGGAGGATCTCGACATCCGGCCCGGTCGGCCCGATAAAAACACGTCATATCCGTCGTCGACTACCAACCGGATCTCCCTGAGAAACGATCAGGAGCACTCCTCTTTTTGGCCGCTTCAGGATACCACTGGCTCGAGATGGCTGGACCGAGTCTCGGATGTTGCGCGCCCTTAAGATAGGGAGGAGATGCTCCCTCTCGCGGAACCCTATCGGACGAGTTTGCGCCTCGTGAAGAAATCTCTCTTGAAAATAAAAATCTTTTTCAAAGTACAATCTAAATATCGAGATTACAGAGACTAAAATACACATCAAGGTGGAGTAAAAGTGGCGTCAGAGGTCTCGTTTATGAGATTTTTCTCCGAACATAATGTACAGAATCGTGCCAGACTTCACGATACAAAAATTAAATTTCATCCTCCATATTCATATCGTGAAGTTTTGAAAGGATTCGGTACACCGTTCGGAGGAAATTCTCACGAACGATTGACCCCTTAAGATCTCTCTAAATCTTAAATTAGTAAAGGTGGGGAGAATTTTTAGGGCCGCCTTTGAGGGTACCAAAAATCGGGCATTATCTTTCACGAAGAGGAGCGCCGACGCCTGATGTCTCCGGCTTCCTCGAAAGTCCTTCCCGTGTAACATATGCTTTTATCTAAATTAAACAGTGTCGGCGCGATTTTCATTTCCTGGCCCGAAGCCGCTGATGTTATCCTCGGGATAGCGCGTCGCGCTTGCTAAGGGTCGGGAAAGGCTTTCCCCAGCCCCGACGACGACCCTCCGCTTTCTGCGCTTCCTATACCTTCTCCCGGCTCTACTATCTCCCCGTATTCCGACCAATCCCTCGGCCCTTTCCCCTCTTCCTGTCTCCCGGCTGTCTCCGAGCAAACCGCCCCTTCTGCCACCCACTTTCCGCCCACCCGTCAGCCGCGTCAAACTTCCAGATTATATTATACAAAAGCCGAGATACGCCGAGCGCCGCGACGCTGTGCTTCACAGGAAGGACCGCGAATCCTCCCCAAAATGGAGGAGCCTTAAGGGTGTCTCGCAATTAGATAGCATTCGAAAAATCCACCCCAAATGGCCCTTAATATCAATTCCCGACACACACATGGCACATCCTTCCGACTCTCTCTATTGTCAAATATAATTACCCACTACTGTAAATATAGAAAACAACGTTTATAGTAAAGATAGAATTTTCATTGAACTTATTTAGAGGGGTCGATCGAAATCTCGGGGGAAAATCGTGGAGCATCGAATCCTTGCACTTTTTGCCGGCGAGATCGCGCTTTCTCGTCGAGGCACCGATGGGGGAACCTTCGAAAAAGCTGATTGCGCGAGAAGAATTAGCGGAAGAAGCGGTGTGGGACTTTTTGCGACGGTTTTTCGCCGATCTTTGTCTAGGGAACAACGGGCCGGAAAAAGTCGGAAGACGGGAAAAGGTGGAGGCGCCGGGCTCGGACCCGGCTGGGCTGCGCGGAAGATCCGCAGACAGCTCTCGCGCGGACGGAGAATGCCTGATTTTCCGGCGGAAAAAGGAGGGAGGAAAAAGAGAGCAAGGGTGGATCAGCCCCTGGGACGGGCGGAGAGAGACAGGGGAACCCGAGAAATGGACGGATGGGAGGACGCCGATCAATCTCCCGCTTTTCGAATCTCGATTACCGGACTCTGGACCGAAAGGATGCTGCGCGCCGTCCTCCCCTTCCTTTTAGTGTCTCCTTTTTTTATTAACTGCAATAGGAAGGAGACGCGTGGCAGAGATGATTAATTTTTGAAATTAAAGTATTTTTCTATGGGAACATTCGCAAGAATTTGTACTTTTTTATACCGTGGTTATATATTTATTTTATTTAATATAAGGTCCTAGGTACTTTCGTACAAGATGATACAGGGCGACGTGCGCTTCCCCTTGAGCTTCGAGGAAGCGTTAAGTGCAAAGTGCCACCGGATAAGGATTAACAGGTTCAGCCTCTATTTCCGAGCCGCTTTGATTTCCCCACCGAAGGGAAAGACATTTTCCCAGAAATCCAGCGATATACTTTTGCGCCGAAAAGCGCAGGATCTCCGGAGATCAGGCGGAGATTAAAGTCCGTAAAGTCTCCCTTAAGAGTGGGGCTTTGATTTTCCCGTAAGAAGATTACGGTTTCGAGGACGTCCTACCTTCGAAAATACAGGAATTCCCCAAAGAAAGGCTCGCACGTGCGCGCAGTAAGAAGAATCCCGTCCAACCTTTCGAATGATAAGCCGAATTCGTGTATCAAACATCACAGGGCCGCCATTTTCGGGACTGACGTAAAATTCCCCCTGGGCTATCTTCGCGTTTACCCGTGTCACTCGATTTTCGGGTCGTCGGTTGACACGTTCGAGTGAAAGTGCACGAGGAATTCCTAAATTCGTGCATTCCTAAATTCACGCATATCTTAAAAATTCACCTCGCGATAATTTCGGCCAGAAATTCAGGTGATCGAGAGCGAGGAGGGGAAAAAAATCAAAGTCAATGGATTTTCGACACTCGAGGGAGCGGGGCCGGCTCGAGGTATCGATTTCGAAACTCGGCGCGTTTCTAGAAGGAGAGGCTCTTTGGAAAGAGAGGCCTCAGGTACAGGGGTCTCGGACTATCTGTCGGACGAATCGTCAGGTGGGTCCGGGACCGACCGGACGTAGGTTGACCGGTCAGGATCGGCTCGGGTCGGCTCGGTGGGCGGGCAGAAGGGCCAAAGGGTTGCGGTACCAGGAAGTCGATCGGGCCCCGATTGGTCGGCCTTCGGTCGGCGATCGCACCCCGTGGGCCCTACAAATTGGCAGGGGTAGGCGGTCCGCGATGTCAGTCGACGAGTACTCAGGGAGCAGTGAACATCGAGTTTTGGAAGCGTTGACAGTTTCTTCAGAGTTCGCCAAGCAAAAGGAAGAGTCCGCGATGACGCTGGTAGACTTCGGCCACCCCCAGGTGGGACACTCCAGGATCCCCGGCTCCATGGAGGAGGGTTTCTATCCTCTATCGCCGGCCAGCGGGGACTCCAACGTCTCCACGACCAGCTGGAATGGATACGGAAATTCCGGCAACTTCAAAATCGGCGCCAATAGGAATACCTACCCCTGGCAGTTCGACGTCAAATCGGGGTCCAGGGGGCTCCCTGTGAGTGCAGGGATGCTGCAGCAGCAGCATCAGCCTCAGCCACAGCAGCAGCAGCAGCAGCAGCAGCAACAGCAGCAGATGCAACTGCAGCAGGCCCATCCTCAGGTGCAAAGACAGGAGGAGAAACAGCGGAGCGACCCCCAACAACGTCAAGCCACCTCTACCTCCGGTCAAGGTGTGCATCCCGAAATTACTTTCAAATTATTTTTTTTTTACATTTTTAAATTATTACATTACTATACAATCATCGATATGTCGGTTCGTCTGCGTAAAAGTATCATGGACACGCTAGGCGCCGGTATGGAGGTATTCGATAATGGAATTGTTATCGATTTTAATTTTCCCCTGTGAAGGCTAGAAAGTGTAAGTGTAACCGTGCTTGTATCGAGGAGTGGAGGTCCCGGAGGACTCCTTCGGGGACGATTCTTCCCAGGGGACCTTCCGGAAAAAACGGAACCCGGGACGTCTTCGATTCTTCCCCCAAAGCTCGTAACATTCAATTTGAATGGTCCGAGTCCCCTTTGCGCGCCCGGAGGAAACTCCTCGGCGAATGGCCCAGCCTGCGGACATCGCGGAATCGAGATTGATTAACGAGCCGACCATTTAGCCGACTTTAGACTCGGGGGATTATAAAACGACGACGTTTACCGGCCCGGTGGAGGAAAACCCTCGCGAGCCCCCGGATGATGGACTATCGCGGTCCAGTGACGACATATTTATTGGTCGCGAAATATGGAGTGCGGCGAGGACGCCACCGAGGTCCTGCGGGATGTCCTAATGGCCCTTCGAGGGCCATTCAAGACAGATATTCGACCGGTGATACGTTATTCTGTTTTCTTCTCGGAATCCCCATTTCATTAATTTCACTGATTTTATTTATTCTATTGGTCACTTTTATTCGTCATATTCATCATTTTAATTTCATCTCTCCGATTTTAAATCCCACTTTTATTACGAAAAATCTTAAGTGGACCGCAAGGGCGCATGACGTATTTATTGGTATATTATATAGAACGGATTCCTGCAGGATGTCCTAATAGCCGATTGAACACCACCCCAAAATGGGAATTCTCCCGCGGTACATTATAACGCGCTACCCTCTTAACGTCGTAAACCACCCCGCGCATACATCTTATCCGCCACCCTGGTATCAAACCTCGGGGGTAGTTTCGCCGTAAACTCGAAACTCGGTGCCCGAAACTCCGTCCATCTCGAAAACTAGCCCAGTTACTCGAGAAACTGAACGGCCATTCGATCGTCGAAATGCCACCCCGAGTTTCGTCAACCCCCAACCCCCTCTAAGAGAATTTTATCAGGCACAATGGAGGTTAAAATGCGGTAAAAATAAATATTTCCCGAATTTGAACGAGCTGCATTCCACCGTTTAGGCCTTCGACTGGTGTCGTAGACGGAAAATTCCTCGGAATAGCCCCCGGGTTCTCGTTTCTCGGACAAAGATACGTGGCGATAGCCAGAACAATCCATTGTCAGCGGAGGAATTCGCAGTCGCGCCTTCGAAATTCCCTCGACATTGTCTCTTTTGAAGAGCCTATCTCCCGTTTTCGACACCGACTTATCGTCATCTGGACACCACTGTCGCAATCCACCTCGCCTCTATCCACATAAAGTTATGAAAATAGTGTAACATTTTGTAAAATAATCCATGGAATAATCGGAAAATCGTCATTACTAGCCGAACTCGATTTTCGCTTCTCGCTCGGTCGGTAAATAAAACTTTCCTTACGAACCGCGATAACGCCCCCGACTTCAGCTCGAAACATTGCTAATTTTTCACAGCCACGCGATTACATACACACTCGGGCCCTCGCTCGGCTAAATATAGATACGTGCATGCATGCACTCGTGGAGAAATCATAAATCAAACAAACGCCCGGTCCCGCGGTAGATTACCATCTCGTTTTACACTTTTTCACAGGCCGGCACGCAACTTCACGACATGGCCAATTTCGCAGGGCCTCGTCGCCTTCTAATTGTACTTCCCCGTCTCCGGTAAGAGCGGCTTCCCCGTTTCGAAAATTCCATGGATCCTTTCGAGTTTCGTTATCTCGCGTTCTTATCTCCAAGGCCGGGCCATCGACCCGTGGCGGAGCGAGCGTCCATGAAAGTCGGCCCTGACGAAAAGGAAAATAAAATATTGATAAGCCCCATATCACGCGAGTTACCTCCACGACTGATTTTCCTGTTAACTCGTAGACGGGATTTTGTCAAATCCTGGAATGCGGAATTTTCTTTCCTTCCATGTGGTCTATTTTTCGGAACGCTCCGATGTGGTCCGACATGCCGAAGAGACTCCCGCCCACGAGGCGCGTCCACAATGTCGTCGTAAATTTGTCAGATCGACGGAAAATGGCATATTTACACGTTCGCCGGCGACTTTGAGGAAGTCTCGAACGAATCGCTCTGGTGGTAAATTTTCTTGGTTTAACCGTTTAATCCAATATTACGGTTCTAGTGGCGGGCTTTGAAGGACGCAGCGGGAACCATGGCCTCCTCGTGGGCGGACATGTCGCCTGCTGGGCGACCCTCGAAGAGGTAGTCGCTTTCCCGTCGACGTGTCGTCCCCCTGTCCTGGCAACGCTAATAAGACGTAGAAATATATGATTAAAGAAATTCTGCTCGATGGGCAATTTTTTAAAAAATCTTACACCCCCGTGAAATGAATTCTACGCGATGATTAAGACGGAGTGAATAAGGAATAGAGAGTACAATAAATACTAGGATGATCGTGTCTAATTAAATCCCTCGTGAGAGAGCTGCATTTTTCGGAAAAACATGATTGAAGTAATATATGATTTAAAAAAAGTCTGGTTGATAACCAATTTATTAAAAAAAATTGTAGACTGCCGTGAAATGTATTTTATGCGATCGTCAAGACGGAGTGGAAAAAGGAGATAAAGAGTACAATAAATACGAGGACCATCGAGTATAATTAAATCCCGCGTGAGAGGGCTCCATTTTTCGGAAAAATCGCCGACAGGTGGAAAGGTAGTGATTATGTTAAACGCGGTCTCGGTACGATCCATCACGCCTTTTTTCTGGGCCTACATAATACGCCGCGTTTGTGCGAGTTGATTAACGGTTCGTTTCCTCAAATTAAGAGTTAAAGGGATTTACTTCGTTCCGCGGCGCCTCGCGACGTGGATTGGTCCTTGAAAGTGGGCAACAAAAATAGTAAAAATTTTCCCAGAGACATCGAAAGAGTAATAACTAAAGAATGTTATTTATTCCAGGTCAGCAGCGCAAGCAGAGTACCGGAAAGCGATCCAGAACCGCTTATTCCAGCGCCCAGCTCGTGGAACTGGAAAAAGAGTTCCACTGCGGTCGCTACCTGTGTCGGCCTCGTCGTGTGGAAATGGCGGCAGCCCTTTGTCTGACGGAACGTCAGATCAAGATCTGGTTCCAAAACCGACGTATGAAGTACAAGAAGGAGCAGAACTCGAAAGGCGCCGGAAGTCCCGGAAAATCGCCCGCAAGTGTCGGCGGTTCTCCCATGAGCGGCAAGGATGGGGCCACCGGAATTGGTTCCTCCCCGAGTTCCGGGATTTCCGGAAATCCAGGAAATACGGAATGGACCCCTCCGAAGATGACTCTCCAGGACCCTCTCATCCCCACGACGGTGTCCTGCTCGTTCGCTTCAGGGACCGATCAGGCTGTTAGCTCCTCCACGGAGAAGGAGTTCCAGTCTAAGAACGTAAAGCAGTACGAGAATTCCGCATTCTATCAGGTCCAGGATGTGCAGGCTCACTACCAGGATAGGCAGTCCTACCTGTATCAGCAACAGCAACATCAACATCAGCAGCATCCCGACTACCCCTCCCAGCAAGCGCCCCAGTACGTCCAGCAATTACAGTTCCAGCAGAAGGACTCGCAGCTGCAGCTGCAGTGGCAGCATAATCAGGCCGTCTTCTCGCAGAGCAATTACCAGCACTACTCCGACGGTCTGTACGCGCAGGAGCAAAATTGCTACTCCTACGGGGCTCCTCAAAACGCGTATAATTACGCCAACATGCGCGAGGACGCATACGCATCCTTGCCCGTCCTGACGGACCTCACGTCCTGGCTGCCGCAGAGCTCCTATCAGCAGATGCAGAACAGGAACCTGGTGGACGTTGTCAGCGACTCCTCCGAGTGCCAGGACGACGGGGTAGACCTCACTAACCTGTAATTTAAGCGGGCCAGGAATTTTACTTTAAGGACATTTCTGGGGAGATTTTTATAGCGCACTGTCAGGACTCGCGCGGTGCCTGGATGTACTTTTTTGGGCTTTGTATACACGCGGGGGCCATTTTTCGGCCAAGTCCGGAATCTTATCAGGAACTCCTGGACAACGGGACTGGCAGAGTCCTGGCCGATTGGTCATGACTGCACTCGCCAGGAACAGTTACTCGACTGTCGGTGCGATTCATCGCCGGTTAAATGTAAAACGGGATTCGAGTGCTGGCAACCTAGTTTAGGCATTTTCGAGCGGGGATAAATTCAGAAACTAGTCCGGGGAAATCTTCGAACGTGCCTTCCTCTTAGGTTAGGTCGAGACGCAAGTTGATGTGATAAGGATGAAAAACGACGCGAGGAGGAGCCCACACTTTGCCGTCCCCGAATGTGGGCGAGAGCGATATAAAATGACGTTATGTGTTACATAAAGAATTTATACGAGTAGTGTGTAGGATCTTGAGAAACGTTTTTAAACAAATACGAGGGAGAGAAATATATATATTTTTTTTTATAAACATTCGTGTCGAGTAAGCGCACGCCCCTCGATTTGGAAAACGCGGGAGTGATCGTCAAGCCACTTGGCTTGTAGACTCTGTGCAATTTGTAAATATAAAATATTATAAACTTGGAGATTTCTTTATGTGTAGTACTCTAGAAGATAGAAAATAAATGGTCAAACGCCAAGAGTGTTTCTATTTAAATTTCATGATTAAATAATACGGAGTCTCTGTTCTAGGCTGCGAATCGCGATGGATTTTCTCGTTTTGGGGAGTTTATTTTTTACCTAAGAGCAACAATTCCTTCGCGGGGGGTCTCCTCGAGAAAAGGCACGCGATAGGCGGTAAGGGGGGAATATTCGAATCCCAAAGAAGAGGAGATACTCGGCGATACAAGATCGAAGTATGGAATAACGGGAGGGCCGAGTATTAGGGCGGCTACAAAAGGGTGGAGGGTGAAACCTGGCACGAAGGTGGGGTAGGTTTCAACCATGATTTCCATTCGCCAGCCATCCATCTTGTTTGAGACTGGAAACTGACAGATAGACGTGGATCCGAGTGCCGGTGACGTGGCAAGTCTTGCGTGCTCGCGTCAGTGTGAGTTACCTATGCTGCGTGGTGCATTTACACTCGGATTTACCGTCGCGTACTACGGCCACCGCGCCGCCATTTTGCGCGTCCGTTAGTCTCTTGGCGCGATTTGGCCGAAAAGAAAAAACAATTTCTATCTATCCATTTCCCAGCTTAAAAGCGCAATCTCGCTGAAAAGCGTCCAGAGATGCGGCTTAAGAAAATCCCAGCCGCAACTTTTGTGTCCTGGTCTACCAATAAATACAATGGCGCGAGTCGAGCGCAGGATCTATGAGTATTTGAATCTGAATCGGATATTTTCGCGCTCCGGATTTACCTCGAATACGCCACGAGGGATCGGACTTTTATCCCGAATGAATAATGGATGGGTAATATTAAAAAGGAATTGGCCCGTTTAGAAACAGACGGGTGCGAGTGCGACAAATGCCCGCGGAATATACGCGAGCGCGTCCTTTCGCGCTCTGCCGGTCTTCGGCCGCCATTTTGAATCGCCGAGCCCCATGGCCGTGGGAAGGATTTCTTTTCTAAAGACGCACGGGCAAGCCGGTGTCTTTGGGAATTCTCATGGCGGCCCGAGTTCCTCGGGTTAAAAGGTAGAAAAATTGAAATGGGAGAGGCGAAGAATGAATAAAGATCAGGGGGTGCCCAGGGTGCTGCAGGGGCTCCATGGTGCCCCAGAAGGGCTCCGAACGGAACGCGGTGCACGCGAGTGATATTAGGTAGAAACGCATGAACTTTGATATATTCGAGGGGCCGCGGAAGGCGCCATGCTGCGGCAAGTATCCGAACTATACGTGACCTGCAACTTTCCGGAAGCATCTTTCAGACGTCGATATACGTGGGGGTGACGAGTGCTCCTATCATAAATCGGGTTGAAAATGAAACCCTGCGACCCGCACCGATAATTGTCCTCATTGCAAATCGACCCTTAACACGTGGCGACACCAAACGATGGACCTGAAAAGTGCGCCATTACTAAGAAAATCGTTGAAATTGGAAATTCACTATAACGTCGATTTTAAGGATTTCCAGCGCGTTTATCACATCATATCTGCACTTATTATTCTTGAACATCGTGAAATTACGTGAAATTACATGAAAGTACATGGTTAGATGGATTTTGTTAATCAATAGTTGTGGAGGCGGGATGTTTAAATCGATACTTTAAACCCCAGGGGTGCGTCCCTCCACCTGGAAGAGCAGAATTCGAGCCAGGAAGCAGGTCTTCCCCTAGGAAACCGAGAAGTCTCGTTCCAGTTCCGGAGCGGTCCGGGAGCGGTTCCGGCGCGGTTCCGGGGCGGCTCCATCGAGCCCGGAACGGCGCGAGAAATCGAGACGAGAACGGCCGGCGGGAAACAACGGAAAATAAACCAGCGGAAGAATCGTAGCTGGAAAAAGAATGAGGGCGCTGTCAGCTGGTGGAAATTATTCTGATTATGCTAATTCCGGTTCTGTTCCACTCCTTTACCCAGGCGTCCCCAGCCCCATTGCCTCCCTGCTGCTGTCTGCGCCATCTTTCATGGGTGATATTTATAATATAGGGGCGCCCGAGCAGTTTCAAACTCTTTCTGGCCTCCTACCCGGAACCTCTCCCCTTTCCTTGCCCCCGACCCCCCAGCGAACCGTGGTGTCGATAAATTTATTCATATTCGACTCGAATCTCTAGACCGCCCGCGCTACCGATTTGCCAAATGGCGGAGGAAACACCACGACCGTTTATAAGGAGAATCCCGCGTTTCAGTTCCTCCCAATATCTAAAGGATACTAAAAACCCTTTTTTACCCACCCAGGAAGTACGCAAGAAATAATAAAACACGGGAGAAGTTAAATAAGAAATTGAATTATCCTTTGGTTACCAATTTTATCTCGAAGTCCGCATCCAACATGGCGGCGGCAGAAATGCATTATTGGGAAGAAAGTTCTAATAACCTCGTCGCGTTTATTGCCGGGCAATTAAAGCCTTAACTGCTCGAATTATTAATTCAAAGCTTTAAAAAGACGGGGCTGATCTCGGAGAAGGGGGTCGCGATTAGGGTTGTTTCCCAGCGGCTGGCCAACCCTTTCGGAGCCGTGACCACTGCCGTTTCGCAATCTTCTTCGCCACTCTAAGTTATCCCTTTTAATTAAGGGTGCTTTATATTCGCGGGAGTGCACCCAAACCCTCGTAAAAATTCAGTCGCCTTGCTCGGGTTCTCGAGGAAAGGATTTGTTTAGAGATGCCGCCTCTGACTGTACGTTACGCGTGCTCAAAATCTTGGGACCGGAATCGAAGAAAGTGAAAAATAGGAAAGAAGAAAATGGAGGACCCCGTGCATCTTTCACCAGAGCGCCTCTGGGCCGCTTCGAGTTCCGAGTGACATTTCCTGTCAAATACGACTCCTTTTCCCCTTTTAAACCGACACGGCGTCTAGACTCGAAGGGGTAATTGGGAGGAAAGGAGGAAAAACTTCGGGGAAAGTTTGACGGAAACTTCCCTGCCAGCGCTTCACCTGTCGATATCTTCCGCTTAATTCCTGGACGCCTCCCGAAGCGCGACCCGAATTCCTGGCTTGCGATGAACTCTGGTGAATGAAAAATTGTACACGAAATAATAGGACTAATTGAAAGGAGGAATGCCCTCCTGAAATTGTATAGAGAAGACGAAGATCGCATTCGACACGCCGTGGGCTTAACGGAAGGCAACGATATGGCGTCGTCCAGGACCTCCGGGGCGGCAACCCCTTCGGCCTTCGTTATCGTTCTTATAATTAACATTCGATGAAACCCCGCAACAGATCCCTCCATAACCTGGAATAACAAAGTATCGGATAATTCTCAGCTAAAGTAAAAAATGAAATTAACTAACCCCTGAACATAACCTAAAACTACTCTCGGGACGAAGAGTCGCGACATGGGGCACTTGAAATGTAAATGACGATCGATCTCCGTGCACGCAAGTGCGTGGCTAATGCGTTCGGTAAAATGTTTACTCTGCATAGATAACCCTCGAGATCGGGTCCAAACGCAATCTTGACATCAGCTCTCAGAGTTTAGCTAGTGGAATTTATTTCTTGGGATTTGCGCGAGGTTTAGTCGAAGGGAATGCAAGAAACATGACCGAAATATGGCGACGTCGACGTGGGTGGTCAACGTGGGATTATCACCGCGGATTAATTAATCACACAACTGTATTATTTCCCATTTAAGTCCTGCCTCCACTTCCGCGGTCCACGGCGAGCTAACGGATGCCCATAGAATTCCGGGGGTATTCACGGGTTAAATCGTAGACACACTTTGCTGGGGTACAAAGAGGCGTAGGTGGGACGATTACTGTGGGCCCTTTACGAACGGGCTGCGTATAAACACGTCAGCTCGGCGTGCTCGAGTTCATCCATCACTCGGCATCTCTCGGCATCTCTCGGCATCTCCGCGCCGAGACCCGAGGACTCTGGAGCCGGATATCCAGGATTCCGTGTCCTTTGCCGACGTTGCTAGTCCTGCGAGCGTTACTTGCATCCCTTGAAAGCTCCGTTTTCCTTTCGGAGTCGGCGAGGAAACGACGGGGGCCAACGAGGATCGCGTCCTGCGGCGCCGGAAAATCGCGAGTTCCACTTTCGACCCGGAACATCGAACAGATAACTTTGACGTAGAATTACGTTTTAGTTTTTCTTGCATAGAGGGGTTTTAACTTAGCATCAGAGTGTAACGAACATTGGACATGCGGATACGCGAGTGGAACGAAAAATGATAACATTGCAAATGCGAGGATCGAACCTTAGAAAATTCTTTTCTAAAAAGCGTTCCAAAGAGCGTTATCTTATCGCGAAGTTGAGTTGACATTTTTGGAAAAGTGTTTCAAGGTACATCGGGGATTGGATCTCCCGAA